GGAAGGAAGGAAGGAAGGAAGGAAGGAAGGAAGGAAGGAAGGAAGGAGAATCTGGGAGCTGATGAGATAGTTCAGCAGGTAAGGGCATACTTACTACTAAGCCTGCCCACCTGAATTCTGTCCCTGGGATCCACATGGTAGAAAACTAACTCCCACATTTTGTCCTCTCACTTCCACATAAGTGCTGTGGCATGTGTATGCTGCTCCACCCACATATCAGTCACACAAAATAAAGTGTGTGTGTGTGTGTGTGTGTGTGTGTGTGTGTGTGTGTACGCGTGCACATGAATCTCTGGGCTAATCAATACTGTGTACTTCGACGGTCTTTTAGAAACATGTTTTACTGGGACTACAATGGTATTTTAGTGGCAGAACTCTTGCGCACATACATACATACATACATACATACATACATACATACATACGTATCCAAAACTGCTTTTCTTTTAATGGAATTTTTGTGTATGCATTTTTGCTTCATGACTAGAATTCGAGGTGATTGTACAATTTTTTCCTTTTGATTCTTTTGAATCTGTCCTGAGCCAAGTACTACTTTGGCCCTGTATATTATTCTTCATCTGGCAGTGTGTTTATAAATAATGTACATATAGCGATTCTAAAATAGATTCTAAAATACTCTTGCTGGTGCCAATGAGAAGAAATTATTTTCTTCTGATTTCAGTGTTTGCCAGGTTGGTCTTTATTGCATTGGCAGATTCATCAGGGTTTCTGTTATGGTACCTTTCAGATTTCTTCTAGAAGCACCTTTTTTTTTTTTTAATACTTGACTTTGTGTTATGTGTCCATGGAACAATTTGACTTTTACCTAAAGAACAAATGGCTTTAGAATGTTCAGCTTTTTAGTCTGTTCAAGATACACAACTCCGTGTTTCTTCCCAGGTGTTAGAACAGCAGGGAAAGAGGGTGAAGTTGTGCAGATCCCTACCTTGTCTGCGAATATATCCCCCTAAAGATGCTAATAAAGGCATAGATGTTTTGTTCTTAAGGTCAGCCAGAACCACTTGCTGAGGCTAGCCTCCACAAGTTCTAACAGAGAAATCCACTTCTCGAGCCTAGGACCCAGTTCATGAAAAGTGCAGAGACAATACAAGTAACACAAGTACTATTTGGTTCTTCTTTAAGGAGTAAAAGTATATGATGAGATCCTTTCACTCACTTTTCTTCTCCTGACAACTAGACTTCTACCTGTTTACAGTAATTTCTAGTACTAGGCAGAGAAGCATGCCTGATTTTGGTGGATTATTCGGTCCTTCTTAGAAGGAGCAACAAAATACTCAAGGGAGCAAATATGGAGACAAAGTGAGGGACAGAAACTGAAGGAGGGGCAATCTGAAGACCATTCCACCTGAGTATCCATCCCGTGTGCAGTCACCAAAGGTAGATGCTGATGTGGAAGTCAGGAAGTACATGCTGATAAGAGCCTGATATAGATGTCTCCTCAGAGGTCTGCAAGAGTCTGACATATTCAGAGGCAGATGCTCACAACTAGCCATTGAACTGATCATGGGGTTCCCAATGGAGGAGTGAGAGTGAAGGCCATTGGAGCTGAAAGGGTTTGTGGCCCCATGAGGAGAGCAACAATACCAACCAACCACAGCTCCCAGGGTCTAAACCACCAGCCTGGGAGCACTTAGGGAGGGATCCAGGGCTTCAGCTGAATACATAAGAGTGGAGTGCCCTGCTGGGCATAGGTGGAAGAAGAGATCCTTGACCTCATGAAGGCTGGATGCCCCAGGGGGTGGGAATTTTGAGGGTGGGGAGGTGGGAGTAGGAGGGTAGGTAGGGGTTACATCTGTAGAGAAGAAGGAGGAGGGGTGAAGGGATGGGGGTTCCTGGATGGGTGGGAGATGGGGTATGGGGACAACATATGAAATGTAAATAAAACATCCAAAAAAAATAACTAAAAATAAATAAAAAATAAAACTCTAATTTTATTAAGCTTTGTAACTTAGGGAATAGTGGTGCTATTAGCTGCAAGTTAGAAACTCATTCATTGACAAGAAATATGAGCAAGAAGTATTGATGTCTCAGATCTTTACATACATCAAAGAAAGACAGGTTGGTACATCTTTCTAGCACAGAGACTACTGAGTACATGAACTTGACCCAGAGCACCCAGCAGCTAGTAAGTAGAATTGCTGTCATGTAAATTCAGTTGGATCTTTTAGTCATAGGAGCAGGTTTATCTCTGAGTTCTCAGTTTCAACGTATGAGGGCTTGGGCTTATTTTATTCTGTAGAATTGTTTGCTGCTGTACCTCTTCACTATTCTCATCTTCCCTTTTTTTCCTAACAATATGTATAGTGCTAAGAAAGACAGTACTGATCAAAAGTATATACTTATTTGCTGCCATCATCACAAGTCACAGCAATAAATATCCCTATTTGTAAATACAGCTTATTTTCTTACGAAAATTAGCATTTGTTTATTCTGTCATATCATCGTTCATTTTTAGCGTCTCTCCTGCAGTAAGCATTGTCCTGGAGGTGTGAACTCTTCCCTGAGACGGAAAATAAGGCAAAAGGAAGAAGTGTTTACATGTGCATATCATATGAATATACTTTAGCTAGAATTTATTTGCTATTAGCAAAATCACAAAACAAAGATTGAGGTGTTTAACCATATGGACATTTAAACACTTTCCTCTTTAAAATAAAGCTAATATACAACTGAGAAAATGGGCTACAGAGGAGATGACTTAGTAAGTAAAGGATGTATTTGTTGCACAAGAGTTTAATACTTAGCATTTATATTTACCTAAAAAAAAGTGGTTGTTGCTACACTGCACAGCAATCACCATCTCAAGGTTGCAGAACTGGAGAGTAGGGGTTCTCACTGGCTACTCAATTTAGTGGAATCAAGGGGCTCCAGTTTCAGTGAAAGACCATATCTCAAAAGATAGGTGGAGAACCATTGAAGATACCTAATGTTAAACCTCTGGCATCTACGTGCACTCTTACACTAACTCACACATACATCAAAACACAAATAATGCCCCTCTCAAGAAAACAATAAAAGCTAAGATTGCCACTTTATAGTAGAATAACGTGGTGTCTTAATGACTCAGTAGGAAGAAACACAGGTAATGCCAAAAAAGTATTGGAAGCCAGATAGGGTGGTGCACCCCTTTAAACCTTACACTTAGGAGGCAGAAGCAGGAAGATCTCTGAGAGTCTAAGCCCAACCTGGTCTACTTTGTAAGATCCAGAACTACCAGTACTACAGGGAGAGGAGTGGGGTGGGGGAAAATCCTATCTCAAAAAGACAAGAAAATAATAGCCTTTCAGGCTGGAGAGATGGCTCAGTGGTTAAGAGCACTGACTGCACTTCCAGAGGTCCTGAGTTCAATTCACAGCAACCACATGGTGGCTCACAACCATCTGTAATGAGATCTGATGTCCTTTTCTGGTGTGTCTGAAGACAGCTACAGTGTAGTCACACACATAAAATAAATAAATCTTTTAAAAAAAAAAAGAAAAAGAAAATAATAGCCTTTCAAAATAGGCAGCAAGACAAAAATAAAAAGTAATAAACAATTTTAATACAGACATGATCAAATTTGCTCTCTCACATTCTAGGATTGTAAAACATACCTTCTAGGAAAAGATTGGAAACTATTTTAAAGACCTGGAAAATATACATACCTTTTCAAAGGGTTTTTAAGGGTTCTCACTGAAGAGTTAAAAAGATAAAGTTTTATTTACTGTGGGGGAGTTTGTATCATATCCTTCATTGTGATAAAAAACGGTAATCCCTTGTTGGTTGGCTCCAATAGCACCTGCACTTGTGTGCACAGACTCACACTCAGTACATCGGGACTACTGTCCCTACTTGTTAAAAGTAAATAGCTTGAGGGCTGGAGAAATGACTTAATGATTAGAAGCCCCGGCTGCTCTTCCAAAGGACCTAGCTTCAATCCCAGATCCTACATGACAGCTCACAATCATCTCTAACCCTAGTCCCAGTGGCTCCGATATCTTCCTGTGGCTTCGGCAGACACCTAGCATTCATGTGGAACACAAACATACATGCAGGCAGAACACCCAGACACATTTTTTTTTATTTTAAATGATAGAAATAGCTTTATAGAGGGATAATAACATCAAAATGTTTGTAATATGTTAAATGAATAATGTCTTTAAATTGTATTATCGCAGTTCTTATCTTTGTGAACTTATATTAGTATTTTTCATCTGAAGAAAATGCATACATTTCTGTCATATCCTGTGTGAAATGGAAATGTATATTTCAATGTATAGAGGGATCCTTGTACTCCAAGTTGCTTTTTGGGGTGTTTCAATGTTACTTTTTGAAATACTAAGGCTCAACTTTGTGTTTGTATAGATATTCCTGATCAAGTTATAAGAATTTTCAAAGCAGATCAACAAAGTTGCTACATTATCATCAGTAAAGATACCACAGCTAAAGAAGTGGTCTGCCAAGCTGTACAGGAATTTGGTTTGACTGGTGCATCTGACACATACTCTCTCTGTGAAGTTTCTGTTACTCCTGAGGGTGTTATAAAGCAGAGAAGACTTCCGGACCAGTTCTCCAAGTTAGCTGATAGAATTCAACTCAATGGAAGGTGAATGAGCATATTCCTGAATATGCAAAATGCTATTTGTAGATTCCCTGTTAAAATGAGTGTTTTAGGAAGAAACATCTTGCTTCTTTGCTACTTAGTTCTAAGAATTAAAGTAAGATTTCTCAAGTTTTGTTTCTACAATTATGTAAATAGAACCTTGGAGGGATCTTTAAAGACTACCATAAAGAGGAGAAAGAAAGCAGTACTGTGTAATCTATGCCCAGCTGTAAGATAGTTGCTTTCCTCTCAGCTCCTAAATACCATAGAGGTTCTGTTCTAAAGAGAACAGGAAGTGGAGCTCTTCTGTACAAGGATTGATCCTACCACTTGCTGAGATGCAAAGTTTATTTAATATAGGAGAAACTACTAAGGACAACTTCTGTCTCAGGTCCACTTTTTCTTGCCTCGCTAGAAAGTGTCAGACAGAAGGGAAGGGATAAAGTAGGTCCAATAGCAACTACTGAATAGGGATGAAAACAAGTCTTGATGTCTGTGCTTTTTCTTGCTAATCAGAAATCATATTTCCCGTGAACAAATATTTATATAATAACACCCATGTGTCAGATACTGTATTAAGTTTTCATTACTGTCACAAAACACCTGGCAGAAACAACTTGATGAAGGAATGATTTATTTTGTTCCTAGTTCATCATGGCAGGAAGTATGTAGCAGAGTAGAAGCAGTCCCTCTCACAGCAGTCAGGAAGGAAAGGGGATGAGACTAGGAACTAGGTATAACTTTCAGAAACATGACCCCAGTGACCTGCTTTCTCCAGCTCAGCCTACTTTACAAGGTATGCACCACCTTCTATCTGAACTCATGTGAAACATTTCATATTCAAACATAGCATTCTCCCAGGTCATACAATCTAAAAATGCAAAGAAAAAATCTTTAAAAACCTAATCTCTCCCAACTTGTTTCACATGGTTTGTTTGCCTAAACCCAAACGTCTCTTCTAAGACACAGGACAAACACTTAGCTTGTGCTTGAAGAATAAAAAACGGTGAAAGTAGCTGGGCACTGACGCGATTAGTCCCAGCACTCAGGATGCAGAGGAAGACAGATCTCTGAGTTTGAGGGCAGCCTGGACTACAAAGTAAGTTCCAGGACACCAGGGCTTTTACACAGAGAAACCCTTTCTTCAAAAACTAAAACAAACACACATGAAAGATGAAAGTGACACCACGTAAATTTGCATTCCCAATGGGAATAACATGAGAATGGCAAAGACCGGTCAGACCAAAATAAGACAGAATTCATTGAAGGAAACATTAAATCCTGTAGATCCATGCCTGTGCCCAGGGCACATGATGTCATTCTGTCGGCTTGGAAAGACCCACCTTTGTGGCTTCTTGAACTATCTTGAGCGTGTTTTGGCTTTCCTTGGCTTGTCAGGCATTCCACATTGATAGCATCTCCGTTGTATCTTCATCTTAACCTTTCACTTTACTTACCGACCTGCCCAGAGGAGGACTGTTGCAGTTCTGACCCTGCCACACATTGCCTGGTTTCTCTAGCCTTTCTTTGAAAAATTTTGGTAGACACCTCCATGACCAAAATCTCTTTCAGTCTACATGCCTAAAAAAAAACGTTATCGCATAGACAGTGTCACAGTCAGCTGCTGACTAAGCAGTAGCAAAACCCTTTGGACTCTAGCTGCAGTGGCCTATGAGTGGCTAGATAATTGAGCATGATAAAGTTAATCCTGGGAAACAATGTATTTAGTGATGCTATGCTAATAGGGGTCCAGGTGGCTGTTTTTTCAAGAGGAAGTTTTTTACTTACATATTTTGTATTTGTTTTTGAAGTATTGTCAGTTGAACCTAGATCCTCTTACATGGTAAAGCCTCAACCACTGAGCTATATCCAACACCCTATCCCCACCTGCCACACCCCACCCCTGTTTTAATTTCTTATTTTTGAGACAAGGTCTCACTAAGTTATCCAAGCACACCTTGATAGAATCTTACTGTCTCAGACTCCCAAGTAACTGGAATTAAACCTGTGCCGATGTACATCTTTAATCCCAGCATTGGGGAGACTAAAACTGGTAGTTCTTTGTAAGTTTGAGGCTAGCCTGGTCTACATAGAGGCCTGTGCTACCGAGTCCAGACAGAAATTTCTTTTAAATTCATTTACAAATTCATACTCTTAGCTGCTACAGGAAAGATCTGACCATGTCCTGATAAGCCCTTAAGACAGTTCCTGGTCATCCTGATGAAGAATACTTTGCCTCCTTTAAATCAGTGGTTCTCAACCTGTGGGTCACAGCCCTTTTGGGGTTGAATGATCCTTTCACAGGGGTTACATATCAGATATTTTCATTACAGTTCATAACAGTAGCAAAATTATAGTTATGAAGTAGCAATAAAAATAATTTTATGATTGGAGTCATCACAACATGAGGAATTATATTAAAGAGTTGCAGCATTAGGAAGGTTGAGAACCACTACTTTAAATGGTATTGATCCCCTTTTTTTTTAAAGATGTGTTCATTGGGGCTGGAGAGATGGCTCAATGGTTAAGAGCACTGATTGCTCTTCCAGAGGTCCTGAGTTCAATTCCCAGCAACCACATGGTGGCTCACAACCATCTGTTATGTAATCTGATGCCGCCTTCTGGCATGCAGGTGTACATAGAACATTCATATACATAAAATAAATAGGTTTTTTTAAAAAATATGTATTTATGTATATGAGCACTTTATTTGCATCTATGCCTGCATGACAGACAGCATCAGAGGGGGCATCAGATCCCATCATAGATGACAGTGAGCCACCTTGTGTTTGCTTAGAATTGAACTCAGGACCTCTCCGAAGAACAGACAGTACTCTTAACCAGCCTAAAGATGCTGATCTTTTTAAAAGCATGCCTTGTTAGTTCCAGCTTCAGATTGGCTGATGAAACTAAATTAATGTATTTATAGTCTTACTTTTGCTCCCAATTTTCACTATAAAAGTAAATAAAACAGCTAGTAATAGCTTTGGTCTGCAGCCTGGACGTATTATCAGGCTTGAAATTTCCTCTGCCTAAATTGTTTTTAAACTTGGTCTTCAGCAGGACATGAACAAAATGGTAAACAAGTTCTTTGGCAGAATATAACACTGGTGACCTCTAGTCCAGTTGCCCACTGTCATCTATAATGGGATCTGATACCCTCTGTGTATCATACAGACATAGATGCAAATAAAGTGTTCATATACATAAATAAATACATCTTTTTTAAAAAAGGGATCAGTACCACTTACAGTAGTAGTTCTCAACCTTCCCCAATGCTGCAACTCTTTAATATAGTTCCTCATGTTGTGATGACCCCCAACCATTAAATTCTTTTCATTGCTACTTCGTAATTGTAATTTTGCTAGTTATGAATTGTAATGTGTAATGCAATCTGATATGTGACCCCTGTGAAAGGATCATTGAACCCCCAAAAGGGTTGTGACCCACAGGTTGAGAACCACTGATTTAAAGGAAGCAAAGTACTCTTAGGCATAGCCTTACCAATTCACATTTCTGTTGGCATTCTGCTCTTCTATGTTCCAACTAAAGTAGGCCATTGAGCTGTACATTGGATATTCTAGGACTTCTGTGTTCCACATTTCCAAAGTCTTACATTCTCCTCCCACTACTCAGTTCCAAAAGCTTAGTACCTATACTATTGATAAGGTTTAGCTACAGCAGTGACCCTGCTTGTTCAGCACCAGTTTTCTGTGTTAATTTCCCATCACTGCTCCTAAGGAGCAAACTTAAACAATTCAGAGAAGAACCCAACATTGCCCTGTAGAGCTTTTATTCTCAGGACAACACGTAATGGTTCATACATATGAGTAGTTTCTTAAAATGACTGACTTCAAGATAATTTTCATCATTGTTTTTATTTATTTATTTTTGTAATAACAGATATTAGACAACAGAAGTAGAACTTCTCAAGATGTCCTTTAAAGTATTTTCCCATTTCATCTATAAGTGAATATTCTAATATTTTTGGCAAAAAGCTAATCATAAAATTATATTTTGGGAAACAAAAAATAAAGTCTTCTTATTAAATAAAATCTATTTATGATCACACTTAAAATTTTCTTCTCATTTAGGTATTATTTAAAAAATAACATGGAAACAGAAACATTGTGTTCTGATGAAGATGCCCAGGAACTACTTAAGGAAAGCCAGCTATCCATGCTGCAACTCAGCACCATTGAGGTTGCCACCCAGCTGTCAATGAGAGACTTTGATTTGTTTCGTAATATTGAGCCTACTGAATACATTGATGATCTTTTTAAATTAGATTCTAAAACAGGAAATACTCACTTAAAACAATTTGAGGAAATTGTAAACCAAGAGACATTCTGGGTTGCCTCAGAGATCTTAAGTGAGTCAAATCAGCTGAAAAGAATGAAGATTATTAAACATTTTGTTAAAATTGCCCTTCATTGCCGAGAATGCAAGAATTTCAATTCCATGTTTGCAATAATAAGGTAAGTTTGTATAAATATCTATATAATACCATTGAGTTTTTTTTTTTTTTTTGTCTTGTCCAACAAAAAGGTAGGGCATGGAACCTACCCTGTCATGTGGTTAATGTACTCAGTGAGACTCCATTAGAGAAAACTCGTTTTTTTCTTTGTCAGTGGGTATTGCAGCTATCTTCTTGGTTAAGAGTAGGAGCTACTTGCCCCTCTCAGTGTTGGGACCTTGTCTCGTTTGACCTTGTACAGGCTCTGTGGGTTCCTGTGTACATCAGTCTTGTATCTGGAAGATGGTGTCTTCTTGGAGTCATTACCCACTCTGACTTGTGCAATCTTTCCACCTCCTTTTCCAAATAGATCCGTGAGCCTAAAGACATCCCATTTACAACTGGGGGTTCCAAAGTCTGTCACTCTGCATGTTGTCCATTTGTGGGTTCCTATGTTCCCTTCTGCTGCAAGAAGCCCCTGTGATAACAGCTTAGGAAGACACTGATCTGAGTCCCAGCCTCTGGGGGTTCCCAAAAGTGTTTCTGAGGATCAATGGCTGATAGAAGAAATATAGGTGGTTAGAACAGAAAGCTAAGAGGAAAGCTTGTTGTTAATTGTTTTGTTGTTTTTGAGACAGGCCCTCTTATATATCTCTGGCTAGAATGGAACTTACTATGTAAACCAGACCTCAAACTTACAGAGATACACCTGCCTCTGCCTCTCTGCCTCTCTGCCTCTCTGCCTCTCTGCCTCTCTGCC